TCACTTTCTTTCTGTAGGTTGATGCTACTGATGCAAGCTACCCATCAGTTAATACATGTGTGCATTATCTCAAGTTGCCTGAATATTCTTCTGAGGAGATAATGAGAGAGCGCTTGCTAGCTGCTACAATGGAAAAAGGCTTTCATCTCAATTGAGTTTTGAAGTGCAATGGGAGACATCAGAGACTTTAAAAATACTAGTGAAACCTCTTGTGTTTGTGTGCAGAGAAGTATAAGATCCTCCATGCTAATGACACTTGCCTTTTTTCCACCATTAAGGCTTTAAGAACATGTGAAATAAGTTCGTTAGCTGCTAATGACAAAAGAAACCCTTTAACTACTCAGCCAGCAAGTATATAGCACAGAACACTGTGTTGCTTTACAAGGGCTTATGTGACTGGAATAAGGTGGTCCTGCTTGACTGTTCCAAAGAGCGGCTTCACAGATCTTCAGTGTTCACTGGTAAATTTCTAACAGTGTATTTGTGTAAAGTTTGTCATTTCATATTCCGTACACTACAGTTGCCATCACTGATCCCTGTTTTGCTGGCTTTTAAGCTACTTGGTCAAAAATCTTGCTTCCTTAAAAAATAGTTAATGAACATCTCAAGCTTTTTCTTTTCCTTTGTAATAATGCCTGCACTGTCAAAATATTCTAGTGTTCTCTCTTTTGTTTGGCATATAATCATGCACAGCCTTTTTATTTCTTTGAGGTGGGAGTATATTTTTATTTCCTAAATGCCATACTATAAAGATCAAATTCTTAAGTGTGTTTGTGCAGCTCAAAAATAAAGCTATATTAAGGGGGGAAAACACTGGTCTAGGTGCAAGGCACACTTAAAGCAAGTTTTACTTTTGGTTGTATTTTCCTTGTATATTATAAACACTTATTTAACTTGTTGCAGTTTGAAGTAAAAAATTTCCAAAATGTATGCTCAACAATAATCATTAAAATGTTTGCAGCGTACAAAACTGTGTCATGTGACTTTCAATGCAATCATCAGACCTTAGAGCTTAACCAGATGCTTTTCATTGTCATTCAGATTTAGTTTTCTGAAATTACTACATGAAGAAATGTATTTTTCTATAGTAAATACATTACTGAAATTAAAAGGCTAGAAGAAATATATATTCACACACTTAACTGTTATCCAATTGCTGTGTTCAGTCTTATGTATTCTTTGACTAGAAATGTAGAAATGGCCAATTATTTGTGTTAACCTTTTTTGGGGGGAGGGGGGGCAGCTGGTTGGTACAGGGATCCAAACCCTTAAGGTTGATGTTAAAACACTGCACCCTATCCAACTTCTCCCCCCCCTCCCCGCTTTTATTAAGCATCTTTTCTCTTTTTATAACTTCATTTTTAGTTTTTTAATAGACTTTATTTTTTATTATTTATTTTTGGGGGGCTGGCTAGCCGGTACAAGGATCAGACCCTGAACCTTGGTGTTATCAGCACCGTGCTCTAACCAGCTGAGCTAACTAGCCAGCCCTGTGTTAACCTTTTAAATACCAGATCTGCTGCTTACCTTTGTATCTGCAGGGACATGAAAGTCTAAGATCCAAGGATGATTTTTAAATGTTATATTAGTGTGAAAAGAAACCACCAGGATAGTGCTATTTCCTGGTTTTGAAGAAGGGGCCGTATTACCATTTTCCAAATTCCTGTTATTCCCACATCTGTGCATATAGGTGAAAGAAATGTCACTAGGCCTGATTTAGCCAAATGCTTTTTTAAAGAACCAAAAACGTGTGAAATTGCCCAATATTTACCTGTTCAAAAAGTACATTTCCTTTCTACATTGGAAAAGATTTCTCCCACTACAGTCATTGATTTGAGTATACTGTTTTTATTTGCTACATGAGAATGTTGTGATTGTCTAATCAGAGGCAGCATTTAATATTTCACCTTATTGTTAGCTTCACAGTTCTGTGTGAGAATAAAAGTTACAATAAAGCATAATAGCAGTATTTAAATGTATGATCTATGTTTCAATTCAAAAATTAGTGTTTTCAAAAAGTCATGACTGAAACTATACTAGTGACAGAATTAAAGTCCAGTTTATGTGTGTAGTATTACCATTATTTAAGTCTCTAAATTGTATGTCAATAGTTAGCTTTTACCCAACTAGCCTTGCACAGGTGTTGACAAACTATGGCCTGCCACCTGTTTTTGTATGGCCTATGAGCTAAGGATGCTTTTAAAATTTCTTAAATGGTTGGAAAAAATCAAAAGAATATTTTATGATATGAAAATTACATGAAATTTAAATTTCAGTGTCCATAAATAAAGTTTTATTAAGAACACAACCATGCTCATTGACTTATGTACTACTTATGGTTGCTTTGCACTACAATGGCAGAATTAAGTAGTTAGCCAAGACCGTATGGCTCACAAAGTCTGAAATATTTACTATCTGGCCCTTTACAGAAAAAGCTTGCTGAACCCTGTTCTCAGCAAGTTGCTAGAGCAGGTAAATTAATGAGTCTTATAAAATCATTAACTGTTTGAAAGTACAAGAACAAGTAAGGCTGACCACCCTCACACAAATACATTTTATGAGTATGAAAAATCACTTAAAGCACCTCACTGAAGTGAGATGGTGACACAGCCCGAAGGTACAGATTGTCACATTACAGTTCACTTTGCATGAGTCAAGTGCAATGAGACCTCTACTAGGGTCTCCAAATATACTTTAAGTTGATTTATTTTTTCCTGTGGTATCTACCTAATATTTTTTTAACTTACTATTCTCTCAAGGTACTAAAATCTATGCCAAGATGTAATTCAACTACTATTTTGGTGTGACCCAAAAATTAATTTTGCTCATTCCCTAGCTACTTCTGGTGTACCAGTTTCAGCAGTTACCTGATTGTGCTGCTGATTAAGTGTCTACCATCTAGGACAGTGTTTCCCAACTAATGTGTCTCAGAAAGACCTCCAGAGCACTTTGATGTAGACCGGGCTTTCCCCAGACCTTGGCTACTTAATACAAAGGTGGATCTGTACACACATACTACTTAATGTTCCTGTAGGTCAGATGTCTTCCTTCTACCTTTCTGAATGAGTCTAAAACAACTCAGGTTTGCTTTTGGAGCCCAATTTTGACTGACTGGTGGTCTGGGTCTTTATAAATATGATCATTTGAAATAGGTAAGTAGATTTTTAGAAAAGAGTAAAGAGAAAGGAAAAAACAGTGCTGAATGGTCAGTCCTTAGAATGTCCATTTATGTCCTCTTTTGTAGGATAGGATGTTGTAGATGAAAGAATTCTTGGAACTCCTGAAGTTCCAGGTTTTTGGATGGCACAATATCTTAATACCAAGAGTATATTTCCACTTTCTCCACTGCATCTGTCTTCCCACCCCTACATGCACATATACATGCTTTTACCTAAGATGGTTCTGTATATTCTAGTGTTGACTAAGTAGTAAAACCATATAGGAAGATTTTTTTTTTTTCCTTTTTGTCTTTTTTCGTGTCCGGCAACGGATCGCAACCCTCAGTGTCGCGCCTGTACCGGACTGGCAACGGGATCGCAACCCTCGGTGTTGCTCCCACACCTCGCTCAGCCAGTGAGCGGGA